CAAGTGATCCGAATGCCAAGTGAACCATAGTAGTAGGGCTCTGTTTGGCAGCTATCCGAATGAGGAAACAACTTGCAGCTAATCGGCTCGATTGAAATCTAAATCTTTAGATTAGTGCTCATATATTAGTTCGCTAGCGTGCTAGCACTAGTTCATACGGATGTAGTGGTGTGCATGAGACGCCGAGCCCATTCACTACTAGTTGTTGAGGAGGGTATCACTTCAACTGCTGGTAGAGAACGGGTTTGGTACCGCGCCAAACTCATCCCGCCTGACACACCCCTTCGAAGTAGACTACAACAGCAACAGCAGGCAACAAGTACAGGATGAACGGTGGGAGGGGGAGAGACAACAGCAGGCAACAAGTACGGGATGAACGGTGGGAGGGGGAGAGAATGTGCGATTTCACTGTAGTCTTCATGTCCTCGTTTGATGAAGACTATGCTTTGGCAATCGTCGAATGAAAAGCGCTAAAGGTCTTGCAGATGGACCGAAATCGAGAATTGGGGGAGGGTTCTCGGGGAAACATATTTCCTTGCTCTCCTTCTTGACCCCAGTTCCGGTTTTAATAAGTTCTAAATGTTCAGGAACTGAGAAACTACGTGCGCTAGCTCGGAGTTATCCAACGTATTCGCATCGAGTGTGTAAGTATGCCAGTCAAGTGTTGTTCATGATGTGGCAGCACAAGGAACTTCATGATGGATTCAAAAGAAGTGGCCTGAAAGAGGCTGATTTCTTCTCGGGTACTGCTAGGTTGGTTCTTATTAAGCGATTTTTGCATTTTGCTTTGAGTTCGAACTTTCTAAATAGGCGGTAGGTTCAGGGGTGATTCGGCGACTCTCGCTCGACCGATTTCAAGCCAAGGACGTGAACGACCTGCTCAGGCCTTGTTGGACGACACGATGAGTAGTGGATATGGTGCAGTAGCCGATTCTCAGGTAACTTGGGTCGCTTCTTACGATATTCTCTTTTTGATCACGAGAAATAAACTCAAGTAGTATTAACTATTAATTATGCAGTTGATTTGAGGCGTCATCGCATACGCTATCAGCTGATGGGAAAGGTAAATGCCGATTCGTTTAGATGGCTGTAGTAATATGTGTAATGCGGAAAAGATTAATTAAATAACCAATGTTGACTGTGTGCTTCTGTTATTTCATGTTATCTCTCACATTTTAATTTGTGGGGTCATAGCTTAGTGAAGTTTGTGCTGTGCTAGGCGCTATTAAAACAACAGTATCTTATAATGCAATGGTTTTAGCATCGTCGCCCTCAACCGCCACAGTACCAACAGCAGCAGCAACACCAGCAGGTCAGCACTCCTCCAGCGCAGAACGGCCAAACTCGAAACGACAGGGGCGCCATGCGTGAACCACTCTATGCCTCTGTTCGAAAAGGAAACCAATCTCGTGGATTGGATGACAGTTGGGTGTGATGGAAAGACTGGCTGATTGCTCGACAACCTCTTTCTTTTCGTGTATCATTGTGTTTCTGTGATAACACTTGGTTGCGGGATGTGATCCGATAACTCTGTATCTCCAGAGCACTGCCGTTTGATGAGCATAGGATGATTTGTGGAGCTAAGCCGGTATCGTTGGTCTGTCACTAAAGTGGTCATGTGGCCTAGTAGCGTAGTACGCTTTAAAGGCATATGGCACGATAATTGGCTACTCGGTCTAAAATGGTAGCACGGGTGCTGTATAATGGGAAAGTGGCGAAAAAGGTGAAGTTGAATGGTCAAAACCTGCAAAAAAAACCTTTATTCTACAC